AAAGAGTAATGTATGAGATAAAAAAAGTGGATGTTGAAGCATTCAAACATTTAATTCAAATTCCCCCTAGGTATGCTTTGTTTCATAACTTGAAGTTTATGCCTTAATTCAAATATTTATTTATCTTTTATTACTTTCAGGTATTGGAGGAAATCTTTATTTTAAAATAAAATGATCAAAATTATAAATTAATAAAAAATAGAGGAATCAAAAAAATAATTTAATTATTTATTTTTATTTTCCTTTTCTTTTTATCTTTTTTCCTAAAATATCGTCAACTGTACCTCTTTTCTTACCATATTTAAATACCGGTTTTTAAATTACGTTTAAAAGAAAAATAAGTCATTCAATTAAAAAAAAAAAAAAGCACATCAAAACAAAACAAAACTTGTGAAAGTAAATAAGTTTAATTCAAGTAATTCTAAACGCATCATTTTTCTCTGTGATTCTGAAAAGGAAAGAGAGGGAAGTGAGAATAAGAGATAAAATGAGAAAAAGAAAGAAAATAAAATAAAGAATAAAATATTTCAACCATTGATTTAAAACTAGCTAAATCAACGGTAAAAATCTTTGGGAGACACGGTAAGTCCTCCACCTTAACTTACACCTTAGTTTTTACCTTTTAAGTCGAGTGAAGCCAAATGAACTCTGCTACTAATTATTTTTATTTTTATTTTATGTTTAAGGATCGTACTGGTACTATTTGTATCTGTGATTAAGACAGTTGCATTTGCATATAAGGAAAAGCAATTTTATATTATTGTTGTAAACAAAGTTTCCAATTTAAGAATGAGAAAGTTATAAATTTGGAGTATACAAATACATGGCTAATTAAAATTAAAAATTATTAATATATGATTATTTTAAATTTAAATTTAAATATATTTTTAATTCATGTAAAATAAGGTTACTTTGATTCAGTAAAAAAAATATTTTAATCCTTTTAAAATATAATCTTTATAAAATGAGTAAATTTTGATTTTGATTCATATAAATTATTTTTATTTTATTTTTCATCCTGTAAAATCTAAAATTACTATTTTGATCTTTAATAATCATTTTAAGGTAAATAATAACATTTATTTTTAGGGTTTGTAGAAAAGTTTAGGGATATTATGTGCTAACATGATATATTATTGACCATTGTTGATAACATCTATGATGTTCACTTCATCTTCTAATAAACATATTTAGATAATATATTGTAACGATTAAAAATATTAGTTTTTATTTTTTTACGACAAAAAATAAAGAAAATTTTTTATAAGAACTAAAATTAAAAATTATTTATTTTATAAAGACTAAAAATTATTTAAGTTGAAAATTTATATATTAATTTTTTAAATTAACCCATTTTTGGTTTATAATTAGTTAACATATTGTTTTCAGTTGGGCTGGAGAGCAAGTTTTTGAGGTCAAAAATGTCAACTTGATAGGAGATAAATATACTATCAACTTGCAAATCCAGGAATACAACTGTAGAAAATGAATGTTGACAGGGTTGCCCTGCTGCCATGCTATCTCATGTATGAGGTATATGAATTTGGATCCAAAGGAGTTTGTGCTAGAATATTACAAGAGGGAGACATATGAAGTTGTATATCAATCAATGATATATCCAGTAAATGACCAACAACTGTGGACCTAGACATGGTACACTGATATTCTTCCATGGCCATGTAAGAAAATGCCAAGACACCCTAAGAAACGAAGAAATTTGGAGCCATGGGAACTGAAGAAGGATGACACTCAATTAAAAAGGAGTGGATATAGGAGAAAGTGCAGTAGGTGCAAGAGTTTTGGGCATAACGAATCTACTTCTATGGAAAACCCAAGCAATACTCCAATACCAAATGAAACACCTCAGCCCACCCAACCATCTCAACCCACCTAGCCATCTCAACCCACCCAACCCTCTGAACCCACCCAACCCTCTTAGCTCACCCAACCCTCTGAATCCACCCAACAATCTAAGCCGACCCAACCCTTTCAACCCATCCAACCCTCTCATCCTACCCAACCATCTCAAACATCTAAGGAAAAGAAATCAACAAAGTCATCTCAGCCAAAGAACAATTTTAGGGAGAAGTTGAAGCCTAGGAAAGCACGACCACACTGGAAACCATGACAAAGTTCAAGATTGTTGTTTGTTGGTGTTTTTTTAAATAGATAGTATTTTGTGGTTAGACTTTATTGGTGATTTATGATGTAATAAACTTTTTAGATAATGTTGTGTATGACAATATTAAGTGTTAATGATATGACAATATTTTATTTTATGAGACTATTATGTATGACATGACGTATGACAATATTAAGTAAATCTGGTAAAAAATATGCTAAGTCGAAGCTATGAGAATCACGCCCGTGATTCCCATGGTGTGAGTCTCATAAAAAACATGTTTAGTAAGAACCCTGGGAATCATGCCCGTGATTGTCAATCATGCCCGTGATTCCCACTGCCTTAGTCACGTCAAAAAAATGTTATGAATCTTCGCGAGAATCATGCCCGTGATTCTGAATCACGCCCATGATTCCCACGGCCTGCGTGACTTGAATACAATGCTATGAATCAGCGCGAGAATCACGCCCGTGATTCCCACGGCCTGTGACTTGAATACAATGCTATGGATTAGCATGAGAATCA